TGATTTAAACCTCCAATTGCCGTACTACCGTATCATAATTACATGCAATGCACGGCAATCATGGCTTGAAATCAGGTGGGGAGAAGGTAACATACAGTATCGCCTCCTCCTCACCACCTGTCAACACACTCAGATTGCTTTTCAGAGGAGTAGCAGCGCCTGCTGCACTTGTGCATGAGCCCTTAGTTGCATTCAGCTGTGGCACCCTTAGGGCTCGAGCTGTTCACATGCAAAGTTTGGGGGTGGTTACACCCTGCAGTTGAGTCGGTTTTACCGCCCCCAATCCCTACCTACTTTAGCTATCGAGGCAGCAGCCAAAAGGTGTACACATGCCACAGCAGGAGTTACATCCCCTGTTGATTTTGGCGAGTGCTACTGCCTTCTAATTGCGACCCATTCAAGTAAATGGGGCCACTCTGCAAGCGCCCTGCAACTGCATGCCTCTGCAGGGTCCAAGGGGTTAAAAGCAGGTAGTGAGAAAAAACACATTGCTGCCTGTTTAACCCCTTGTTTGCTGTACTGCACAAGGTTGCAGGGCCATTGCAGAGTGGCCTCATTCATTTGAATGGGTCAAACTTGGCAGGTGCTACACCCACCAACCATGACAGATCGTATAACTCCTGCTGCTGCTGTGACATGTGTACAGCCCTGGCCACTGCAGCTAAATGGGGTGCAGTTGGGGTGGTGAAAACAACTATGGTGTTACCACCCCCCAACTGCAATTGTAAATGAACCCTTACTGTTCTGAGCCCTATAAGGCTGCTTTCACACGGATGTGCTGTTTACCTGCACTGCTGGTGCAGCTCAGTGCATCTGCGACTTTCCTGGGTTAGCTGCGCTTTGACATAGACTTCCATTATATCGTGCAGGTATGGTGTACTTTCTGACAGTGCATTAAAACTCTTGCACTCAGGAGTTTTGCTGTGCTTTCAGAAAGTGCACCGAACTGGCAGGATATAATAGAAGTCTATGGCTAAGTGCAGCTAACCCAGGAAAGTCGTAGATGCACTGCATTGCACCCATGGTATGGGTAAACCGCAGCACGTCAGTGTGAAAGCAGCCCTATACTATTATGCCCAGTGTATTGCTTCACACTGACCTGAAGATCTCTTCTTTCCTGCTGCTGGCACCCCTCTGGAGACCGCTAGCCGGGATAAGAGGTGGACTGCAGTTGGTATCACTCCGCATGGGACAGGAGCCGGCATCAGCTTATGCAGCTCTTGCTCCCTACTACAGCTCCAGCTTTACAAGTTTTCCCTCTGCATTGCACTCTGATGGCGAATCAGCAAGCCCAGACCACGATCTAATGGCAGATCACAATTTACGGGTAGCTGACCCCCCATCCTAGACCAAGTAAACATGTACAAGAGTAAGCAAATACTAAAAGGCCTTTCTCAACCATTTTAACAGGAAGGAACAATTAAAGTGGAACTATAGGCAAAACTTTTTTTCATTCTGGATAAGAGTAAGGTAAGGTGATAACCCCTGTAAGGTTGATTTGTGCCCTCTTTGTCACATTGAGATTTACCTTCACTTCCTGTCCCATAGTCAAACCAGGAAGTGAGAGGAAATCCCTGCAAATAATTGGAATCTCTTGGGGACCCCCAAGTCACCAGATCTAGTATCCCTATTGCAAGATGTCCCCTCTATTACTTTGCTGGAGACAACCAAAAATTTGTGATTTTCTTTTACTTTCTCTGATAATAGTAAACAGGACAAATAGAGAGGGAAAAAAATCTCCCCAAAGGGGACAAAGACAGCAATAAAAACTGACAGGTGTTATAATTCCTCACCACTCTATCCAAAACTAAAAAAAAAAAAGTTTTGGCTTTAGTTATAAAACTTTTAGGGCTTAAGAAACTCCTGCTAATAATTATTATTGCTATAGCTCAAAAGTTGCTAGCATGAACAGTAACCCGGCAGTCACACCCAGGCAGAGCGTATTCCTGGTGATTGAGGCGGCTTGTTTGTTTATTCAGGTGATTTTTGCACGTGTATCAAGCTGCAGGAGTTGGTTTCCTAGGCTGGGCAAGGGGAGGATAGGAATTCTTCAAGCATAACAATGCACACTAAAAACACGTTTACAGGAGCTCCTATTATAGTCTATGGGACAAAAAAATGCACATTAACTTTTTTGAGCATAGGGAGACTGAATGTACAACAAAGACAATAAAAACTGGAATTTTTCATGTTGAGTGTAGTCAGACATAGGAAAACAGGCAGAAAAATACTCAAGTGTGAATGGGGGCTACGTTGTAGATAGAAGAATAAGTAAATGAATAAGGAATATGGTGTTCTTAACGTATTGGTCACAGAATGAATGAATGAATAAGGAATGTGGCGTTCTTAACGTATTGGTTACAGAATAAAATGAATAAGGAATGTGTTATTCATTCATTTCTTCTGTGACCAATAGTTAAGAATAAGGAATGTGGTGTTAACGTGTCACAGAATAAACGAATAAGGAATGTGGTGTTCTTAACGTATTGGTCACAGAATAAAATGAATGATTAAGGAATGTTGTGTTATTCATTCATTTCTTCTGTGACCAATATGTGAAGAACACCACATTCCTTATTCATTCATTTATTCTGTGACCAATATGTTAAGAATACCACATTCCTTATTGATTTATTCTGTAACCAATACGTTAAGAACGCCACATTCCTTATTCATTCACTCATTTTTTCTGTGACCAACAAGTTAACACCACATTCCTTATTCATTCATTTCTTCTGTGACCAATATGTGAAGAAGGAATGTGGTGTTCTTAACGTATTGGTCACAGAATAAATGAATGAATAAGGAACGTGGCGTTCTTAACGTATTGGTTACAGAATAAATGAATGAATAAGGAATGTGGCGTTCTTAATGTGTTGGTTACAGAATAAATGAATGAATAAGGAATGTGGTGTTCTTAACGTGTTGGTCACAGAATAAATAAAAGGGGCTGCTATAACAGCTTGCCGACCCACCGCAATACATATACTGAGACAGGACGGATCGTACAGGTACTATAACGTACCTGTATGTCGCAGCTCTTTTCCGGGTTTCCTTTATATCGCAAACCATACAAAACCCGGTAGTGATCAAATACCACCAAAAGAAAGCTCTATTTATGTGAAAAAAAAAATTATATAAAATTTTGTTCGTGTGCAATGTGTTACATGACCGTGAAATTACCAGTTAAAGTAGCACAGTGCTAAATAGCAAAAAATGGCGTGGTCATGAAGGGGGTAAAATCTTCCGAAACTCAAGTGGATATACAAACACTAAAATTAATTGTAGTGCTTCCTCAGATTAGGGGAGTTCAGTGGAAAAGTGATCCCAATGGTGAGTAGTGGAGAGGTCCTCTCATACAACAGTGGTCAGTAGGAAGGATACTCCTTATACTGGGGAGGGAATGCCCCCGCTCACACATTTCTACAAAGATCCTTGTGGTAAGTGGTAGCATATCTTAGAAGCAGAAACTGCTTACTGCTCAAGGAACCCCGAGCAACCTCTGGAGGAACCCTAGGGTTCCACAGCACCCTGGTTGAGAGATGCTTACTAAAATGGTTCAAAATGCTAACTTCAGTTATGAATTCTCAGGTCTAGTCAACTCCTCTCACGAGCCTCACTAGCCAATCACTGTGATAGGCAGTCACTCTGACCGGTAGAAAAGCTTGGGAGGAGCAAAACTGTCCTTTACATCAGGAGCTTATAGGTATCCCGGAGTGAGGAAGTCGTTGACAAGTATCCACATTTGGAGATCTAACTTTACTCTGTTCCTCATTTGTGTATTTCTGATCTGTATCTCAGTTTAGAAAGCAGCCAGGCAAATAGCATTTTCAGAAGGAGGTGTGTGCATTACTCTCAGGTCCTGTTTTGTTGAAGTCAGTATTTGCCTAAGTAAACACTATGGTTCCCAGGGTGTTCATGAAGAGGTGCTTGCACTCATCTCCAAATCCTAACAGAACAAACGATAATCACGGTCTACTACAAAAGGCTTCTCTTAGCCGTGGTAATTCCCTTCAAGGAAAGCAGAACATCATTCACCAAAGACAGCGTTGTGTATAAAATCTTTTAATAACCTTAGTTACTTTTCTCTATTACAGTCATGATGGGGTACACAGAAAAACAAACAGATCAAGTTAACAAAACTTAGCTAGGTCACCGACCTCTTTTAGTCCTCTGAGTAAACCAGAGACATTTGAACTATTATTGCAAAATCATGTCCCACCACAGAGTGGCGCTAAAGACCAGAATCTCCTCAAAAACAGGGTCTGTAACATTTATTAAGTGTTAAAAATCATCCTCTTGTAAGAGGGAAATAATGGTTTAGATCATACTATACATTTTCACTGAGCCTACATACAGGAATCCTATGAGATGTCCTCTTCAGAAAGGGAATTCCTTCTCATCTCATTAGCTTAGTTAAATCCCATTTCATTAGATAATCTCTGAATCCATCGACCTCAATGGCATTCATTCATCCATGGCGAGAGGAATCCAAGGAATGTAGTGGAGTGGAGGATTACTAGAAGTTGTGCAGTTATGTGCATTGGGATTGTATTGTCCACACAAGGAGATGACCGCAGTTTACAGCAGAAGAAACCGTGAGCCCTGCAATGGGGAGGTGCTGGCCCATGTGATCTGAAAACCCAAGTTTACTAGCAAATCACCAATATCAGCCAGGATATAAGAAGTCACCCATTGGCAATTCAGTGCCAGGCTCCTCCACTTCCTTCAGACATCCTTAGTATAAGGACGCTCTCAGAGAGCACTTCTCCGCTTCAGACGTGTGAGGAGCAGTTCTGGTGGAAGACCTAAAGGCAGAGTGAGCAGAAGGAAATTCAAGCAGGGCAGGTTCTCCAGGAAAGTCTACAGTGGTTTAGCCCTTGTAACGTCCCAACCCAGCACTGTAGTTACAGGAGCATCTCCTGATACTGGGTAGTGGGAAATGGATGGGGCAGCAGCAGATTAATCCCCTTTTGGGGAGATTAAGGAGTTAAAGTAGTTTAGTATCGTCCAGCCTTGGCATCACCTATGGCTCCCCAAACATCAAATACAAACTCGTCTGGAAAGGCAAAGTCCCCTAGTGTGCGGTCCAGTGCCTGTGAGAAGTCATCGGGGTTCTGTTTGTCGATGCCCAACTCCACCATGGTGCCAGCTGTGTGAAATACAAGAGACAGACAATGTCATCATCCAACCAATACACATTTTCTACCCTGCTATAGGAATGCTTGAAGAGAAGACGGCGTTTATGGAATGTAACCATGTTTCATGTTATACCCTAAATATGGCTGTAATGTGAAACATGGTCTGAAAGCTGAACAAGGCCTTTAACTGACCAAACTGTGCAATGCTGGTATGTATTAAGTTTCCAGAAAGTTGTTGTAACCCTCAGACATTAACCACTTCAAGTCCAGACACTTTCACCCCCTTCCTGTCCAGGCCAATTTTCAGCTTTCAGTGCGATCACACTTTGAAAGACAATTGTGTGGTCATGCAACACTGTACCCATAGGAGACGGATAAAACTATTTTGGTGGTATTTTTTCACCACTGGGATTATTTTTTTTGCTATTTAAATGAAAAAGTCCAAAAATTCTGAAAAAAAAAAAAAAAAAAAAAAAAAGTGTTTTTCTTATACCATTTAGCAAATAAATAATCTTTCCTAAATCTTGGCCAACATTTATTCAGTTATCTTTTTAGTAAAGAAAAAAAAAATACAAACACATCTCTCTCTAATTAGTTTATAACCAAAAATTATAATTTTTCAAATTTTTTTTTTTACATTTAAATTTGTTTTGTTTTTTACATACTGTCACCCTAATGACACTGTACAACTTGTGGGGGGGGGTGAAAAAATTTTTTTTTTTTTTTTTTTTTTTTTTTTTTTACACCGATTGCTTTTACAGCCCTTATGGGTATAAAAGCAATAATTTCTCCTTCTCTCTGGCTGCATTCTTGCAGCCATCCATTGAGAAATACTGTGTGAGCTGTGATTGGTCACAGCTTGCCACATGGTACAAGGCTGTTCTGTGATGTCAGAAGTGAAATCTTGCTTACTACTCTTCATGTGATCACTGATTGGCCAATCAGTGATCACATGATCGGGACCTCTAACGATTGGTGTTCCACTGTGTCCGGAGGACACAGCGGGCACCGGATCGCGGTGCTGCACGCTCCCAGGGAGCGCACACAAGCAGGGAGCGGGAAGGCGGTTTATAAACAGCCACTCGCCCCTGCACTGCTCCTGTCCAACCATTTACATACACGGGCCAGACAGGAAGTGGTTAAAATTAACAAAGCATATCCCTCTGTAGTGTGTATTTGTCTCAATCCAGAGCACCAAGTGTCATTTGTCTGCTGCCTTGGGCTTCTGCTAGCAGTATGAATCACTTATGACAAGTTTTCCTGACACCAAGAAAAAAATGGCGACAGGGAAGGGACCTCCAGCAGATTGACAGCATCAGCTCTGTTCCTGTGTGCTGGGTGGAGGGCTCTCCTCACTGAGCTTGGCAGAATGTAACTTCAGCTCCCAGCCCCCTTTTTTCTGAACTTTTAGACAATATTTATAAATTGAGCAGCATACGTAGGAGGATTTGTTTTTCATCTCTGTGTATCACCTGAGGCCAGTCACTTCACTGGGTATATGTGAGAGTTTACAACCACTTTAAATCCGAACTGAAGTTGTGCTGTAAAACAGCGAGCAGGCAGGCTTATTGCAGCAGACATGCAGCTCAGCTTGCAGCACCAGGACAATCTGTGTGCCAGGATGAGTGGCTCCTTTGCATGTACAGGAATGACATCATCCCGTGCCGGTAAATGAAGATGCTAAAGACTGGCACACAGAGGCAGATGTCAGGGCTGGAGAGCGACTGTTGGAAAGGTGTATATTAACCCCTTTAGATCCGCTTTAAGGGCCCATTCACACCTATACACAGTATGCTGCAATACACACATTTGCAAGCATTGAGGAATGCTGTATTACACAGTCCATTTATTTTGAATGGACTCTCAACAAACCTGAGCGCATAAAAAAAATAAATAAATAAAATATGTTCAGCACTATTTTCTAGCATGGGGCAATGTACATGCATCTGTGTGTTGTGATTTCAATAATGAAAGTGTCCTGCAGTGCATTATAGGGGGGCATTGTTGAGCAATTATCTTTGAATGTCATTGTACATCTACAGTGCTTTACTGTGTATTGTGGCGATGTGCACATTAGCATGTGTTGTGATGCACATTATGGCGTAAACTACCCCGTACATTAACCTACGAACCACCTTCTGCATAGACAAACAAAAAAAATTGTTCTCCTAATCTTTTTTTTTTAGGACATGGAATGCTTTAATTCTATGAACGGTTTCAGAAAATGTGATCAATAGTCTCTCAAAATGTTTTAAATCCATTGTTTAACAGCTTCCCGTCCAGCCTATAGTCAGATAATGGCCGGGTGGGAGCTCTCTAGCTCTGGATGGATGTCATCTGATGTCCTCCCCAGAATGCACCTTACGAGCACCCCATGTGGTATGCTGGGGCCTGATCTGTCACCTGCTGTGTCCACTGACTGATGACATATCAGTATACCGCCTGCTGCTGGTACTAGGTGATCCCTGTGACCAATCACAGCAGATCACATGACAATTGTACTAAATTTATGGCTGCCATTCATTGCGTACTATTGTGCTGATCTCTGTGATTTGTCACATGGCACAGACAGGGCCAATTACAACCCATCTGCACCATGTGATTAGCTGTGGCCAATCACATCTAATCACAAATAGTAAACACTGAATAAAATCAATTTCATTCAGTAAAAATGGTTGCTTACAGTTGCAAGAAAAAGTATGTGAACCCCTTGGGATTACGTGGAGTTTTGCATGAATTGGGCATAAAATGTGCTCTGAACGTCATCTAAGTCACAACAAAAGAAGAACACAGTCTGCTGAACTAGGGAGAGTAGCAACAGTGCTAAACTTTCTCCATTTGTAGACAGTCTGTCTTACCGTGGACACATGAACATCAAGGCTTTTGGAGATACTTTTGTAACCCTTTCCAGCTTCATGCAAGTCAACAATTCTTGATCGTAGGTCTTCTGAGAGCTCTTTTCTGCGAGGCATGGTTCACATCAGACAGTGCTTCTTGAAACCAGTAATCCCAAAACAGGTGTGTGTTTTTTAAGGGCAGGACAGCTGTCAGCAACACATTTAATATCATCACACTGATTGGAGTCAAGGTTGGCTCACTCCTGGCTCCAATTAGCTCTGGGAGAAGTCATTAAGCTGGGGCCTCACATACTTTTTCCTCCCTGCACTGTGAATGTTTACATGTTATGTGCAATTAAACCATGGCAACATCTAATGTTTGTGTAGTATTATGTTCAGCAGACTGTGTTCTTCTATTGTTGTGACTTAGATGACGTTCAGAGCACATTTTATGCCCAATTCATGCAAAACTCCACGTAATCCCAAGGGGTTCACATACTTTTTCTTCAACTGTATATCCATGATATTCACTTTCATAAGCAATCACAGTGTGCAAAAAAATCCTGATTACCTCCTCAGAGTAGTGCGGTGGTACACTGGTAACACTGATATATCGATATATATATATTTCACACATACATACAGGTGAAACTCGAAAAATTAGAATAACGTGCAAAAGTTCATTTATTTCAGTAATGCAACTTAAAAGGTGAAACTAATATATGAGATAGACTCATTACATGCAAAGCAAGATAGTTCAAGCTGTGATTTGTCATAATTGTGATGATTATGGTTTACAGCTCATGAAAACCCCAAATCCACAATCTCAGAAAATTAGACTATTACATGCAATCAATACAAGGATTGTACGTAGAACAATATCGGACCTCTGAAAAGTATAAGCATGCATATGTACTCAGTACTTGGTTTGGGCCCCTTTTGCAGCAATGACTGCCTCAATGCGGTGTGGCACTGCTGAGGTGTTATGGAAGACCAGGATGCTTCAATAGCGGCCTTCAGCTCTTCTGCATTGTTCGGTTTCATATCTCTCATCTTTCTCTTGGCAATGCCCCATAGATTCTCTATGGGGTTCAGGTCAGGCGAGTTTGCTGGCCAATCAAGCACAGTAATCCCACGGTCATTGAACCAGGTTTTGGTGCTTTTGGCAGTGTGGGCAGGTGCCAAGTCCTGCTGGAAAATGAAGTCAGCATCCCCATAAAGCTTGTCTGCGGAAGGAAGCATGAAGTGCTCCAAAATCTCCTGGTAGACGGCTGCGTTGACCCTGGGCTTAAGGAAGCACAGTGGACCAACACCAGCAGACGACATGGCTCCCCAAATTAACACAGACTGTGGAAACTTCACACTGGACTTCAAGCATCTTGCAGTGTGTGCCTCTCCATTCTTCCTCCATACTCTGGGTCCTTGGTTTCCAAATGAGATGCAAAAGTTGCTCTCATCAGAAAAGAGGACTTTGGACCACTGAGCAAGAGACCAGGTCTGTTTTTCTTTAGCCCAGGTAAGACGCTTCTGAAGTTGTTTGTTGTTCAGGAGCGGCTTGACAAGAGGAATACGACATTTGAAGCCCATGTCCAGGATCCGTCTGTGTGTGGTGGCTCTTGATGCACTGACTCCAGCCTCAGTCCACTCCTTGTGAAAGTCCAACACTTTTGAATGGCCTTTTCCTGACAATCCTCTCCAGGCTGCGGTCATCCCTGCTGCTTGTGCAGCTTTTTCTTCCACACAACTTTCTATTAATGTGCTTTGATACAGCACTTTGGTAACATCCAACGTCTTTTGCAATTACCTTTTGAGGCTTTCCCTCCTTATGGAGGGTGTCAATGATGGTTTTCTGCACAACTGTCAGGTCAGCAGTCTTTCCTATGATTGTGATTCCTGCTGAACCAGACTGAGAGACCATTTAAAGGCTCAGGAACCCTTTGCAGGTGTTATGGCTTAATTAGCTGATTAGAGTGGGACACTTTGAGCCGAGAATATTGCACCTTTTCACAATATTCTCATTTTTCTGAGATTGTGGATTTGGGGTTTTCATGAGCTGTAAGCCATAATCATCACAATGATGACAAATCACGGCTTGAACTATCTTGCTTTGCATGTAATGAGTCCATCTCATATATTAGTTTCACCTTTTAAGTTGCATTACTGAAATAAATGAACTTTTGCACGATATTCTAATGTTTTGAGTTTCACCTATACCAAAAGAAAACTGTGTGAAAACAATGATAAAAATTTCATATGGGTAGTGTTGCATTACTGCGCAATTGTCAAAGCGCGAAAGTGCTGAAAATTGGCCTGGGCAGGAAGGGGGTATAAGTGGTTAAAAAAAATATTCATTATCCAAAAAAATAACAAAAAATTACAACTTAAAAAAAAAAAAAAAAAAAAAACTTGACATGCCTTTTACGAAATTCCTTGGATTGTCTACTTTCCAAAAGGGGGTCATTTGAGGGGTATTTATACTGTCCTGACATTTTTGGCAGGGAAGAAAGAGCAGGAGTGATTGATTTTTAGATGTATACACACCATACTTTGTGGACTCTAACTTTCCTACAGTCTAAATAATATACACTGATTTGGGTTATTTTTACCACAGAAATGTAGCGGAATACATTTTGGCCTAAATTTATGAAAAGGGATCATTTGCAAAATGTTATAAAACTGTTGTTTCTGTCTTTTTTTATTTAGCAAAAAATTTAAAATCCAGTGGTGATTAAATACCACCAAAAAAGCTCTATTTGTATGAAACAAATTGTAAAAATTTCATATGGATACAGAGAATGACAACTGCGTGGTCGTGCAACAAAGTGCTACAACGCTGAAAGCTGAAAATTGGCTGGGAAAAGTGGGGGGTGAAAGTGCCCATTATTGAAGTGGTTAATATTCTCCATTACAAGTTTCCATACAGATTATACTGGTGTACAGTAAAAAAATAAGTACATACATTTTACAATGTATAATTCACCCCCCCCCCCCCCAATTACCACACATACTATAATTTTGCCCATCACACTACTTTTCCTCTGTGATATGGGCAGAGTAGCAAGATTTCCCTGTGAGAACTGCAATCCGAGTCCAGAGCCACTAATCTCACAAAACGCACCCTGTGCTTAAAAACAGGGGAGGCCTTCTACAATAGCCTGAGTATCTTTGTTCTCACCAAGTTCACGGTCTCTGATCCCCATATAGCTTTCCAGCAGGTCGTCCACTTTCTGGATGGCTTTCTCCTCAATGACAGACACCTGGACAGCAGGAAGGAAGAATGGACAAGATGCCAACAGAGAATGAAATATTCAGGCCTTTCACAGAGCATACTCCCATTCAGATAACTCCACCCCAAATGTTACTCCACTGCTCCTGCTATACACACCCCAATTGTTACCCTACCCCTCCTTTACCCTGTACAAACAAACAATGGCATCTCTACCCTCTCCCTTTAGCCACCATGACAACTCCACCCCAAATGTTACTCTACCCCTCACCCATTACATACCTTAGCAACTCTGCTCCAAATTTATCTCTGTATCTCAGACATCAAGTGCAGAAAAGCTTTGAGGGTGCTACCTCCCAAGTCACTGCACACCCCAACACTGCTGTTCTCAAATGCCAATATTCCATTAAGAGATGCTTCGTAAAATCAGTGTACTCCAGCCCAGCATCTTGTGCAATGTACCTTGCTCCTACAAAGTCTGAAACCCAGAACTCCCCCTAAATATTTCCACAAAATAGTACTTTCAGAACAATAATTTCACTATGTATGCACCTAGATTCTTCATTCATCTACCATCTTTCTTACCAGTTCCTCCACAGTGGGAGGCCCCTTGGCTCTGAGACGTAAGGTTCCCCTACCCGATGATACTGCGGAACTATTAGTGGAACTGTTAGCGGAAGAGCTGGAACGCTGTCCAATCATATCTGGAAGACAATAAATCACAGAACATGTTGGATCTGAGTACACCAAAGCCTAGTGATAATCTTTCTACTGCCACTCTAATTACTCTCAAATCAATTTCTGGCACGCTCTGTGTACTTTATACCCAGGTTTATCTACTCTACTGTGCTACACGCACGGCTCTATCAGAACAGTGTGACTACCGTCTGCTTTATGTGACAGATAGAGATTGGTGCTTGTCTGACAAACCGCGTCTATTCTAGCCACCTCTGCTGCAGTATGGAGGTACAGGGATATTTAGCCATGGGGCATAAACAGCCTTAGTGCCAGGACACATATTGGGGGGGGGGGGGGGGTATTTGTGCAAGAAACATCGGTTTAAAAATGTAGACATTAACAAATGTTGGCTCTCAGCCAATATAGGTTTCCTAAAGTGGTAGAAAACACTCCTTTGTCCATTTCGCCCCATATAGGCCTATAATCACGCTTACCTGTAGGTAGTGTAAATATAAAATGGTGCACGTATAAGAGATATTTACTTGTTTAGCACCATCACCATAATGTCAATGGCACATGCACACTGCGCTCTTAGTGGACGACCAGCATGCGCAGGGGTGACGACATCGCAACTCGGCCATTCAAGTGTCCAGAGCCAGTGAACCCAGAAAGAAGAGCAGGTGAAGATGGAAGCCCTGGCAGTGGTGACAGTGAACAGCTGAAGGGCTTTGTTTTAAGGCCAGTCTCTCATAATGTGCTAGCATGCGATGTATACCAGCACATCATGACATTGCCTTGCAGGAGGAAAGTTTTTTTTTTTCGTGTCTTACAGTTAACCAACGCTTTAAGTATGAAGGAACTACAGGGAAGAGAATGGTGACCTTTACTCTTCTGAGAAGGATTTTAAAATATTTTGGACACCATCTGTGGGAACTTCGCACCCATTCAGTCGAAAGCGCATTTGTTAGGTCAGGTACAGATACTGGATGAGAAGACCTGGCTCACAATTGGTGTTTCAACTCATTACAGCTCAGTAGGCTTGAAGTCAGGGTTCTCTGCAGACCACTTGAGTTCCTCCATACCAAACTCAAACATCATCATGTCTTTATGGAGCTGGCTTTATGTACGGGGCACAGTCATGCTAAACAAAAAAAAAAAAAAAAAAAAAAAAGGGCCTCCCCCCCCCCCCTGCCACAAAGCTAGGAAGCACACATTGGTCTTAAATGTTTGTATGTTGTAGAATTAGCAGGACACTTTACTAGAAATACCTGAACTCAGAGGGTCCCTATACTTGGGGCCACACAGGCATGCAGTGTTTCCTCAAATGTTTGTTATTAGTGCCTGTAGCCTGTTTGAGAAGACTGCAGAGAATCTGTAACCCAGTGGATACCGTATAGCAAATAACACACCCAAACCCACAGCTTCTCTTATCATACATGGACAATCCAGGTATTGGCTCCTAAAGCCTTTTTTCACTTTCCATCAAAAGATATGAAAAGAGAACAGCTGCACTCCAAATTTAGTCCTTCATATTGTATTTTTTGGTTGTCAGCAAAGTGACTGTAAACCACATATCTCCACCCAAAAAAAAACACCCTTCCCTAATGCATGACTTCCCCTATCCTTGTGAGCAAGCCAGGAGTGGTGAAATGCATCAAGGAAGGGTGGAGATATGTTGTATGCAGTCACTGCTGACAATCAATCAATCTAGCAAGAAGAGCTAAGATTGGAGTGCAGCTGTTTTTATGTCCAGTGGATACCTTGCTAGATTAGGCAGCTTAATACCGATCACTACTCATGAAGATCATCATTGCTTTATAATCAATATGCAAACACCTATCTCAATTTTTTTTTTTTATTGCTAAAAGAGGAGCTCCAGTCTCCCTCCAAAAAATTTAAAGTCAGCAGTTATGTACAAATACTGTAGATGCTGATTTATCTGTCCAGGGATCCAGTGCTGTCCGCCCGAGCTGATTCTTTAACAGGCTTTGGGCCCAGGTACCAGCATCTTAAAGTGGTTGTACAGGCTCATGGCTAATGCATGAAGGTAAAAAAAAACCTTCTGTGTACAGCAGCCCCCCACATACTTACCAATCCAGTGATGTGCAGAAGAGCCTCAGCTCTCCAGGGACTCTCGTTCCTCATTGGCTGAGACAGCTAGTGAGCCAATGAGGAAAGAGTGGGGACAAGGCTGAGCTGTGGCTCTGTGTATAAATGGACACAGAGCTGTGGCTTGGGCGCAAACCTGCTTGGGTGCCCCCACAGCAAGCTGCTAGCTATGGGGGCACTCAACAGGAGGGAGGGACCAGCAGCGCCAGTAGGGGACCCAAGAGGAGGATCAGGGCTGCTCTGTGCAAAACCACTGCACAAAAGCAGGTAAGCATGATATTTTTGTAAAAGAAAAAAAAAATAATAATAATAATATCACCGGAACTAAGGTAAAACGGCTGTGAAGCAGCGCTGTGCTTTGTGAATGATCCTGCAGTCTTCTGGGACCTGTGATGTGTGGGGGTGTTCGAATTTTCGCTTGAATCATTTAGGTGATCCAAGTGTGGTAGTGGGTACCTGTCAAAACCAGGTACTTGCTCCCCCCACCCAGAAAAGTGCCAATTCTTAAAGCAGAGGTAGGGAAAAGGTAGACAAGTGGAACTTTTGGGTGAAGTTCCGCTTCTAAAAAGACAAAAACAACAAATAAACACAGCGCAGTTCAACCCATGTGCTGCTTTGGTAGTCATGTCTGAGAAATTTTTTTCTCCAAGTTTGACGAGCTGATCTCCAATAACATAACTTATAACGAATGTAGTTACCAAAGGCCTTCCTGGGTTCACAGAGCTTTAGCATGAAGGTCCTCCCCCGAGGCAACTCTTTCAGGGTCCGGGCTACTTCAAAATGACGACTACCAATCAAATTCTTCCCATTGATAGATTCAATCATGTCCCCAACATTGATAAGCTGCATGCGGTGTATAATACTGCCTTCTTTAATTCGCTGTAGATAAAAAGGGAACACTCAGACAAAGATCAGGAAACTAGACGTTTTGAGGTCAACATACTAAGAAGAGCACCTTGATGAATGCGTAACCGGCACCGTTGTCAGTGATTGTAAGACCCAGAGAGTCTTCAGATTTATACACCTCAAGCTCCTTCTTTTGTCCTCGTATGTGAGCAAAGATGAAGTCCTCAAGTCCTATCTGACCGCCCAGAAGTTTATCCATGTCCAGGCGGTGAGTGTTCAGCGTACAAAACATCACCTGTTGAAAAAAAACATTAGTTTTGATAAATTGAGAAACTTGGGACCAGTGTTCATAGGCTTTGGGCAAGTGTCCATGGCATCGGTTTGGGACACTTGTGGGACATTCATAATTCACTGTCAGGGCATTTGACCTGCAGTTGACTTCCTTCTGACCTGCATTAGAATTGATTCAAGCAGGTTTTGATTCCAATACAAGTCTAAAGGCACAAAAGCCTGTCAACATTGGCCCATATGAATTTTTGTACATAGGATCAGTGTTATATAATACAACATTAAAAAGGCTCATACATACTGGGGTATCCAGCAAGTACCAGGTGGAAATCAGAATGGTTACAGTTAACAGGGAAATATAATGCCAACTATATCTACAGATCAGCTCTGGAATTACTCAGGCTTGAATGGTTAACATTTATTGCCAGTTCACACCACAGAAACACAGATGCTGTCAGGAGCAGGGATGAGCCATCAGATTAGGAGGGCCAGCTTCCTAACAACATTGAGTCAATCCTGCTGTCAACGGGGATTCCCTGCTGACAGAAAAGCGTAAACAATAGAACTGGATTTAAAAAAAAAAAAGAAATAAAAACCCAACTGCGTGGGGCCCCCCAAAATCCATACCAGCGCCCATGTTGATGAAGACAAGGATCTCTTCCCCACAACCCTGGCCTGGTGGTTTTGGGGTTGTGGGGCATAGCTTATCGGAATCTGGAAGCCCCCTTTAACAAGGGGGCCTGCAGTTCCTGCTTTCCCCACCATGTGAATGAGTATTCATTCACCAGAAAAGTGTCAAAAAGTAAATAAAACCACAACCACCACTTTTGACAAGTTCTTTATTAAACACAAGGAAGAAAAAAAAAAAAAGAAAAAAGAAGAAAAAAAGGCCCCCGAAGATAATTCATTGTCAATCACGATGAACACCGGCCACAGGCCCGCACAAAAAAAACAAACTAAAAAAAAAAAAAAAAAAAAACCAAAACAAACCCACCAACTGCCTGTGGGACACGACCACTCCAATTGCTAGACATAAGCCGAATTACAGTAGAGTCCCCCAGCAGCTAAGTGAACATGGAGGCAGGATCACCTGGTGACGTTTTTCTGCATTTCAAGAACTGCAGCCACCGCTACAGGCACATAGACAACAACTGTATTCTATGTGCCCCATTCACACTGCATTGCAGCTTGGAGATGCAGTGCAGTGAGCTGCAATTAAATGCACACATGCTGCATTTTATCACAGTGCACAGAAAGCAACCGCATGTCACTACACTGCTGTGCAGGGACATGAATTAAATGTCACTGTATGCATTTCAAATGTCAACCCTTCAATGTCACCCTTGAGACGGCAGCTAGGGAATCCAGAATGATGAATCTATAACTGGAGACATTCAGCCCGGAGGCTGCTGTCAGCTATGGAACAACTAAAGTTATTGCACCCAACATGAACTGCTTACTGCATGAGATCAGCTATTGTACATAGCAGAACCGATCCCCACCCCATGAACTAGTACAATCACTATACTCACACAGACAGTATCTGATGATCTGTTTGATGATGGTACATAGCGAATGGTGCCACTTCCTCGGTCAGTTACTTATTTTGGCATCATATTGGAAGCTTGCCACCTTATTAGAATGTACTGAACATGCCCAGTAAGATATCTGAAATCCCCCAAGGTTCACTTATCTACTCCTTACAAAAAAAGTCACATTTTCCATTTTAGGCCCATGTCACACCAGTGATCCTATCATTGTTGAGAACTCATAACAACAGCATCTCTATGGGCTCATTCACACAATGTGTGCTTACCTGCGTTAAAGCGGAACTAAATGGTATCTGAGCACCACAAACAGAAAACATGTTTTAACTCATTTTTGTTATTCAAATCAAACGTCCCCATCCATCCATGTGTCCATGCCTTTTTTTTGTTGAGAACTCAGTTTGAAAAACATCCCCTAGCATTACTAGTCACGGCCATCCTGAGTAAGGGCAGACAATTCATGTTGCATTTGCTTCCTGGAATCCATCTACCTCTTGCTCAGGCATGCAGACAGGAGGGTGTGCTTAGCTGAGACAATCCCTCCTCCCCAAAAAAAAAAAAAAAAAAGTCTAAGAGGACTCCTGGGAAGTATGACATTTTGGCCTAGGCCAGAAACCAGAAAGCAACTGGAAAAAAAAAAAGTTTAACCTCCTTAGTAGTTTTCCCCAAATGTAACTCGGGGTAAAATTTCAATACCAAGAGCGGTAACCCCGAGCTACACTCGGGCTTACCATGCAGCGTTGCTCAGGGGGTCCCTGCAGCACTTACCTTGTCCTTCGCTCCCACGATGTGTCCCCTGCAGCGCCCCCGGCCATCTCCTCCGGCCGATGCCGGCATCCGGCTTCCGGTCCCTGTGACATCGGACGTATGGGCGCCGGAATTGGCGGGAAATTAGAAATTTTTTTTAAGAAAATTTAAATTTTTGCTGTCATTGCTGTTTCAACCCATTTCACATACATTTTGTCCCGAGTGCTTTGTCCTGTGTCCTGCCTGCATTTTGACTGTTCTTTCTGCCTGGAAACTTAGAAACGTCCATGGTGTCCAAAAAGCGTCCTTTTAGGTCAAAAGCGGTTTTAGAACAGCTAGAGAACAGCGATAGTAAATCAGAACCACTTGCAGAATTGAGTGATAATGATTCGTGGGGAAATTCGTCATCAGACACTGAAAACGATTTTGTGACTTTGCTCAGCGATGTGCGAATTTGCCTCTGTATTTCAAATTTCAGTGTTTTTGGTTTGGATTATTGAATTAAATGTATTATTTTTTATGATTATTAAAGTATAATTTATGATTTTGTGTTTCAAATTTTATCATACCCGGACTACTAGACTCTTGTTTGGACAGATTTCAGTGAGTTATTCCTAAAAATTACAGCCTACAATAAAAAACTACATATTTCCATGCAAAAAAATGGTACCGCTTTCAGCACCAAAAAAAAAACAAAAAAAAACGGAAAGAATCATACTGCCGAGGAGGTTAAACACAATATAATATACCTTCCTGTTTACTAATACTAGCAGCATAAAGAATGTTGATTGAGAGAGTTTAGTTCTACGTTAAGCTGCACAGATCAATGTAGGATCACAACTATAGAACAGAAAACCTGTGTCTTCTATGAGCACTGTTCATACCACAATGCTGCCTTGAGGTGGGCTGCAGTGTGTTCAGTCACACTGAAGCCCACCACAGCACGCAGGAATGAATGAAACGTCATTTGTGGCATTTCAATAAATGAAAACATTCATTAGACTCAATGCATCACTCTCTCACCAGGTGGAAGAGTAAAGTGTTGCTCTCTGACGCTGCAGCATGTAAAGTCACCAGCGAGTGAGTGACAGCTCACTTGACCAGCCATTAAGGGACCGACACATACAAGGAGGTAAGAGCTCTCATTGCCCTGTGTCCTGCATAGTAATACTGTTGCTGGTGACTTCTCACCAATGTCAGGACTGCCTGTGTAAAGGGGCCTTGGATAAAGACCAGAATTGCTTGAAGAATATGAAATCAAAAACAGGTGGAAAGTTCCCAAGAACATGAGCATTACTACAAGATTGTCCACCAGGTAAACATGTTCCTATATGTGTGTATTCAACCTGACTGGCTTAAAGTGGACTAAACGCCACAAGATGCCTCCACCTTCCAGCAATGTAATGGTCACAATTCTACCGGCTGCTGTCACCTTCTCTCTGGCCTAATTCTGAGTGCCGGGTTTTCAGCGTGGGTGGCTAGTAGGGAATGACGTGATCCAGAGCATGCGTATGGTAGTCATTCATTCTGGCACAACCTGCTTCCAGTCGGGACACTGACTGCAATAACTTCAAAGAGGATTTCACCTCATTTTTAAGAGATTTTTAGCAAAATCTCTGGCTAGGGATGCACTGTAGCTTCCCTAGCGGTCTGATTATGTCAGTATTTCTGTGCTCAAAGCGGTACTTTTTTTTTGCATGGAAATATGTATTTTTTTTTTTATTGTAGGCCTGTAATTTTTAGGGATAACTCACTGAAATCTGTCTGAGCAAGAGTCTAGTAAACATCCCGGGTATGATAAAATTTGAAACACGAAATCATAAATTATAATTTAATAAATCATAAAAATATCATAATAAAGTTTCATAATATAGTCAAACCAAAAACCCTGAAATTTGAAATATAGCGCCAAGTTCGCACATCACTGAGCAAAGTCGCAAAATCGGTTTCAGTGCCTGATGACGAAGTTCCCCACCAATCATTATCACTCAATTCTGCAAGTAGTTCTAATTTACTATCGCTGTTCTCTAGCTGATCTAAAACCGCTTTTGACCTAAAGGGACGCTTTTTGGACGCCATGGACTTTTCTCAGTTTCCAGGCAGAAAGAACAGTAAAAATGCAGGCAGGGCACAGGACAAAGCACTCGGGACAAAATGTATGTGAAATGGTTTGATACAGTAATGTTATACTGTGGGATTTTAGTGCATTTAGTGATTGTCCCTTTTTCACATTTTTAAATTTCTCGCCGGTTCAGTCCCCGTACGTCCTGACGTCACAGGGAACGGAACCCAGAAGACAGATGTTGGCATCGGTCGGAGGACATTGCCGGGGACATTATGATTTAAAAAGGAACCAAACAACTATGTGATAATAAATGACTTCATATGATCACTATCCTTCAATAAAAGAGCATTTTTTGGCATGATCAGTCATATTTTCAATATCAATACCCAAATTTCACAATTTCTGCCAGGGTATGCAAACTTTTGAGCACAACTGTACATGGCCGACTTTATTTAGAGTGGTCATAAAAGGCTTATCCAGTTTAGATGGGCATCAGTGGTATCATCAACACATGATATAAGAGCTTCTATAGAAGCCGCTCAACAAGCATACTTGATTGCTCTCCCAGCAGTGTAATCATGCAGATATCACTCTGGGTGTTGGTGCAGATATCATTGTGGCAATCTTGCTGAATAATGAAGAACTGCA